TACAGACGGTCAGTCAAGGGGTATCTGGAGACTTGGTCATGTGGCCTACAGCCATGAAACCTGATGTCCCTTGGTTTCCTCATTCATAAAATGGGAAAAGGAAAGTGGCCCTGCTCTCTTTGGGGTACCATGAAGGACAAAGAAAGGTATCTAGAACACAGAAAAAAAAGACTATGGTAGGTTACAGAGTTCTATATAAAATTATATATATATACACAGAGTTCTATATAAAATTATTTTCCATATTTCCATTTGAAAGGTGGAATTTTTACTTCTCCTTTTCTAAATGTCCCTCTCCATGGGGTGGCACCATGAAATTGAGTCACCTCAGTTCATGGAACTATTAGAAGTTGATTTAGAAAAGATAAATTACTATTAAGAGGTAAAAAGCACTCTGTCTCTATTTTTTTTTTTTTTGCATTTTGAGAGACAAATGTTATTAATAATGGATTGCTTTTATATTGATACAGATTTGCTCACAAAGAGCTAAAGTACTTTGTACTTTATACATACATACAAAGTATGTAATATCTTCTATATCATCAATAGCAGGCTAGGCTTTTCCTTGGAACTAAATGAAATTTCTTCTCTGATCCTTTTTCCCTTCTTGTCCAGTTTAAATACAATTACAGGAAACATTTTAGAGCTGCTGGCTGCACAGTTAGGGGCTATGAAGTAGGGAGGAAATGGAAAGTCCGGCTTTGTGATGTCACCAGCTTTGGTTTTCTTTTTCTACATTCCTCTGGCTATTCGAGTCTTTTCTGGTTCCATACAAGTTTTAGGATTATTTGTTCCAGCTCTGTGAAAAAGGTTGATGGCATTTTGATAGGGATTGCATTGAATGTGTGGATTGCTCTACGTAGCATAGATGTTTTAACAATATTTATTGTTCCAGCCCATGATCATGGAATGTTTTTCCATTTCTTTGTGTCTTCTTCAACTTCTTTCATGAGTATTTTTCTGAGTACAGATCCTTTGCCTCTTTGGTTAGGTTTATTTCTAGGTATCTTATGGTTTTTGGTGCAATTGTAAATGGGATCGACTCCTTAATTTCTCTTTCTTCTATCTCATTGTTGGTGTATAGAAATGCAACTGATTACTGTGCATTGATTTTATATCCTGCCACTTTGCTGAATTCCTGCATGAGTTCTAGCAATTTTGGGGTGGAATCTTTTGGGTTTTCCACATAGAATATCATGTCGTCTGTGAAGAGAGTTTGACTTCTTCTTTGCCGACTTAGATGCCTTTTATTTCTTTTTGTTGTCTGATTTCTTGGGCTAGGACTTTTAGTACTATGTTGGAGAGTGGACATCCCTGCCATGTTCCTGACCTTAGGGGAAAAGCTCTCAGTTTTTCCCCATTGAGAATGATATTTGCTGTGGGCTTTTTGTATACAGCTTTTATGATATTGAGGCATGTTCCCTCTATCCCTACACTGTGAAGAGTTTTAATCAAGAAAGGATACTGTACTTTGTCAAATGCTCTTTCTGTGTCTATTGAGAAGATCATATGGTTCTTGTCCTTTCTTTTATTCATGTAGTGTATCATGTTGATTGATTTGCAGATGTTGAACCAACCTTGCAGCCGAGGAATAAATCCCACTTGGTCATGGTGAATAATCCTTTTAATGTACTGTTGGATCCTATTGGCTAGTATCTTGGTGAGGATTTTGGCATCAATGTCCATCAGGGATATTGGTCTGTAATTCTCCTTTTTGGTGGGGTCTTTGTCTGGTTTTGGAATAAAAGTAATGCTAGCCTCATTGAAAGAGTTTGGAAGTTTTCCTTCCATTTCTATTTTTTGGAACTGCTTCAGAAGAATTGTTATTAATTCTTTAAATGTTTGGTAGAATTCCCTTGGGAAACCATCTGGTCCTGGGCTCTTGTTTGTTGGGAGATTTTTGATTACTGCTTCAATTTCCTTGCTGGTTACGGGTCTGTTCAGGTTTTCTCTTTTTCCTGTTTCAGTTTATATGTCTCTAGGAATGCATCTATTTCTTCCAGATTGCCTAATTTGTTGGCATATAGTTGCTCATAATATGTTCTTATAATTGTTCGTATTTCTTCAGTGTTGGTTGTGATATCTTCTCTTTCAGTCATGATTTTATTTATTTGGGTCCTTTCTCTTTTCTTTTTGATAAGTCTGGCCAGGGGTTTATCAATCTTACTAATTCTTTCAAAGAACCAACTCCTAGTTTTGTTCATCTGATCTGTTCTACTGTTCCTTTGGTTACTATTTCATTGATTTCTGGTCTAATCTTTATTAATTCTCTTCTCCTGCTGGATTTAAGCTTTATTTGCTCTTCTTTCTCTAGCTCCTTTAGGTGTAAGGCTAGGTTGTATATTCGAGACCTTTCTTGTTTCTAGAGAAAGGCTTGTATTGCTATATACTTCTCTCTTAGGACTGTCTTTGCTGCATCCCAAAAGTTTTGAACAGTTGTGTTTTCATTTTCATTTGTTTCCATGATTTTTTAAAATTCTTCTTAAATTTCCTTGTTGACCCATTCATTCTTTAGTAGGATGCTCCTTAGCCTCCTTGCATTTGAGTTCTTTCCTCTTGTGAATGAGTTCCAGCTTCAAAGCATCGTGGTCTGAGAGTATGCAGGAAATGATCCCAATCTTTTGGTACTGGTTGAGAACTGATTTGTGACCCCGTATGTGATCTATTCTGGAGAATGTTCTATGTGCACTCAAAAAGAATGTCTATTCTGTTGCTTTAGGATGGAATGCTGTGAATATATCTGTGAAGTCCATCTGGTCCAGTGTGTCATTCAAAGCCCTTGTTTCCTTGTTGATCTGCTTAGATGATCTGTCCATTGCAGTGAGTGGGGTGTTAAAGTCCCCTACTATTATTGTATTATTATCAATGTGTTTCTTTAATTTTGTTATTAATTGGTTTATATAATTGGCTGCTCACATAAATATTTACAATTGTTAGATCTTGTTGGATAGATGCTTTAATTATGATATAGTGTCCTTCCTCTACTTTTATTATAGTCTTTCTTTAGTTTAAAATCTAATTTGTCTGCTATAAGGATTGCCACCCCAGCTTTCTTTTGATGTCCATTAGCATGATAAACGGTTTTCCACTCCTTCACTTTCAGTCTGGAGGTATCTTTGGGTCTAAAATGAGTCTCTTGCAGGGGCGCCTGGGTGGCTCAGTCGTTAAGTGTCTGCCTTCAGCTCCGGTCATGATCCCAGGGTCCTGGGATCCAGCCCCACATCAGGCTCGGCGGGAGGCCTGCTTCTCCCCCTCCCACTCCCCCTGGTTGTGTTCCTCCTTTTGCTATCTCTCTTTGTCAAATAAATAAATAAAATCTTTAAAAAAATAAAAAATAAAATGAGTCTCTTGCAGACAGCATATTGATGGGTCTTATTTTTTTTATCCAATCTGATACCCTGTGTCTTTTGATTGGGGCATTTAGCTCATTTACATTCAGAGTAACTATTGAAAGATATGAATTTAGTGCCATTGTATTACCTGTAAAGTCCCTGTTTCTGTAGACTGTCTCTGTTCCTTTCTGGTCTATGTTACTCTCTTTGCTTAAAGGATCCCCTCTAATATTTCCTGCAGGGCTGGTTTAGTGATCACAAATCCTTTTAGCTTCTGTTTCTCCTGGAAGCTTTTTATCTCTCCTATTTTGAATGACAGCTTAGCTGGATACAGTACTCTTGGCTGCATGTTTTTCTCATTTAGCAACCTGAATATATCATGCCAGTCCTTTCTAGCCTCCCAGGCCTTTGTGGATAGGTCTGCTACCAGTCTGATGTTTCTACCCTTGTAGATTATGGACCTCTTGTCCCTGAGCTGCTTGTCTCTGAGATTTGCAAGTTTCACTATTATATGTTGAGGTGTTGACCTATTTTTATTCATTTTGAGGGGGGTTCTCTGTACCTCCTGGACTTGAATGCCTGTTTCCTTCCCCAGATTAGGGAAGGTCTCTGCTATAATTTGCTTCAATATACCTTCTGCCCCCCAACCTCCAACTCTCTTTCCTCTTCTGGGATCCCAATTATTCTAATATTGTTTCATTTTATGGTATCACTTATCTCTCAGATTCTCCCCTTGTGATCCAATAGTTGTTTCTTTTTCTCAGCTTCTTTATTCTCCATCACTTTGTCTCTTATATCACTAATTCTCTCTTTTGCTCATTTATCCTAGCAATTAGAGCCTCCATTTTTTATTGCATCTCATTATAGCCTTTTTGATTTTGACTTGGTTAGATTTTAGTTCTTTTATTTCTCCAGAAAGGGATTCTCTAGTGTCTTCTATACTTTTTTCAAGCCCAGCTAATATCTGATATCTTTATAATCATTATTCTGAACTCTAGTTCTGACATCTTACTTATATCCATACTGATTAGGTCCCTGACAGTCAGTACTGCCTCTTGTTCTCTTTTTTGAGGTGAGTTTTTCTATCTTGTCATTCTTGCAGAAAGTGGTTACTTTTCTATTTGTAGAGTTGCAGCTATTCTTTTCTTAGATATCTGGTTGAGTTTGTCAGTGTTCAGAATGATTTGATAGCTATCTAGTTGAATTCTTGGGACCAGATGAAACTAAGCTCTCCTACTCTTCCACCATCTTGGACTATTCTCCAAGCAATGTATTTATTACCAGCACATCCTCAATTTCCTCCTTTCTTTCCTCCCTTCCTTTTTTCTTCTTACCTTCTCCTTTCTCCTTCCTTCCCTCCCTCTTTTCTGCCCTTCCTCTATTCTTCCCTCCATCCTTCCAGCATTCTTCCTCCTGCTGGGGGGTCCTCTTCTCCTCCTTTTCTGCTCTTCTTTTTTCTTTCTTATTTCTGTCTCTTTCTTTCTCTTGTCCTTCCTTCCCTAGGACACAAAGGGAGCAAGATCCAATCCTGCCCTCACAGAGTTTACCTTCAAATGGAGACGTTTCTCCTTTACAACCTTGTTTGTGTAACTTGCATAAAATAATCATATGTACACACCTCTTGTCTTCACACCAGATTTTGAAAGCTATCTCTAGCCATGTACTTACAGCTATGGAAAACCGCTGAATGTTTTCATCCTCACAGTCTTGGATGACCTTATTCAGTCGATGATTGTCATGGGATTCCCCATCAGTCACAATTACCATGACTTTTTTAACTCCCCTTCGGGCACCCCGGGCTTCAGTGAAAGCCTCCTTCCTGAAGTGATCACAGAGGAAAGAGAAGCAAATAAAATACCACCCGAAGGTTAGGCAAAGTGATAAACAAAAGAAAAACACTGACGACTCTAGTTGGAACAGTGCTGTCCCTCCACGATCAACACTCACAACCACTGTTCAGGCTGGGAGGCATGAAGATCATTATTTGTAATAGTCTTAGATTTCTCCCAGATGATGAAGAGGTCACCATTTTACTAATCATCACATATCCCATATACAAAGGGCAGCACTATTTCATTCTTTGGAAACTTCTCAGGGAAGGTGTGACTGGAGCACACATCAGATCTGGAGAAGGTCCGATCTTAAATACTTGCTCAACCACTCCTTTCTCTATAAACACTCCTCTTTTCTTCTGCTTTAGGCAGAAGCTTTTGCTTGTCCTCACTTCCACCACATCCATTCTGACATTTATAGAACAGTATGGAAATCCTCTGAGCTGAAGAGGGGTGCTGGGAGAAAACAGAATTTTGTACAGCTGGAATGCTTGAGAGTGCTCTTGGATATGGGGAAAAAATGGACATAGTAATAAAAGACTGCAGATGGCTGTGGTCTGAGTCAGTGATAGAGCAGGGCTATGGGGGGCAAGAGTGGATGGAGTAGCTATGAAAGATTTGGTCTGAACTAGGTTTTAGGACACAGGCTGCTGGGGGTAGGGTGGAAGAAAGCAGCACAGAGAGAAAGGGAAAATGCTATAACCTAACTGCAAAGAAAGGAATTTTTTATTCCTTTTTTTAATTTAATTTTTATTTTTATTTATTTATTTATTTATTTTGTTTTATTCCTATTTTTTATTCCAAAAAGCATTTATGGAAGAGAAGGGAAATTAACAATTTTTGTTGTTTTGTGCTTACACACACACACACACACAGGGGCATATTTTCCCTCTATTATTTTCTTTCACTCGCTCACTTTCCTTTCTGGAGTCAAGTACATTTTATTTAGGAATGAAACCGTGAAAGGATTCATATAATATTTTTTAGATCTTGGTATAAAATGCAGCAATCATTATACTGAATGGTCTATTTCAATATTTTTCTTTGGTCATGAGGACAAACAGCTGCAGTTTGGGATATGCCAAAAAAACATTTCTCTTAACTAAACTTCCAAAGGGTTTGCACAATACACATTAGTTTTACTGCAGATACACAGTAAATATACACAGTGGTGGGTATCTTGTGAGCCGGCTAAAAGATCCTGGTGATGTGGGCAAAGGGATTTTATCTCTGTTTATTTTCCTTTAAAAGGGCTAAATGTCAATATGACAAGATGTTAACAATTGTTGATTTGTTTGGTGAGTACACAGGATTTTGTTGTACTATTTTTTACATTTTTAATTTTTCTTATAATTTTCTTTTTTTTTTTTTTTTAAAGATTTTATTTATTTGACAGAGACACAGCGAGAGAGGGAATACCAGCAGGGGGAGTGAGAGAGGGAGAAGCAGGCTCCCCGCTGAGCAAGGAGCCCAATGTGGGGCTCGATTCCAGGACCCCGGGATCATGACCTGAGCCGAAGGCAGACGCTTAACGACTGAGCCACCCAGGCACCCCTATAATTTTCAAAATAAAGAAACTATTTAAAAAAGTTAGCCACTAGGGAACTGTGTATCTCTGCCCTCTACACTACACAGATAGATTTTCTGACTTCTTTATATGCACAAAAGTGAAAATAGATGTTAGAGGCTAGTCTTTATTTTTTTTATTATATATATTTTAAAGATTTTATTTATTTATTTGAGACAGGGAGAGAGAACAAGCAGGAGGAACAACAGAGGGAGAGGGAGAAGCAGGCTCCCTGTTCGAGCAGGGAGTCCAATGTGGGACTCGATCCCAGGACCCTGGGATCATGACCTGAGCCAAAGGCAGATGCCCAACCAACTGAGCCACCGAGGTTCCTCAAAGGCTTGTCTTTAAATGAAGTTCAGACATGGATATCATATAAGATTCTATCCTTTTTGCAGTCCTAACTCCTTAGAGGATCACCAAAACTTCCCAGTTCTCTTGAAGATTCAGGCCATTACTGAATGAACCTCAACCAATGGAGATGATTAAAAGACATTTCTTAAAGAAAATCTGGTAAATCTAAACAGGGGTTGGTTTTATATAATGTAAGAGTAGCCACTGGCAGAACTCCTGAGTACACTCTTTCTGTTTCAAATATCTTCAGCAAATTGCCCTTTACCCCCAAATACTACCATCCAGTGAAAATAGAAGCAAAGGATTCTAACAAATGAAAAATATTGTTTGCAACTGGCCCTGCCTAAAAGGAATAAAGAACAATTAAAAATATGCTTCAGTGTGAAAAACTAATGTATAAGAAGGATACTTAGTGATACCATTATTGAGTTTTATTTATATACAAAACTCAATAAATTATGTGTCTGACAGCTAAACCCTTTGTGAAACATGTAGGCAAAAACCATATAGGGTCATGGAATTTAGAGTGTATTTATGCAGGAGCAAAGCAGCCAGAATATTTCTTCAGTTAGTTTTCAAAGATGAATATTCATTCTTAAGTGGTTGCCTTTGGAAAAACACAGCTCCCTACAGGCTCAGAGCTTTCAAAGAACACTTTGATTTACTTTGAATGTGCAGTCACATTTAGTCAATTATTTAAGAGGGTACATTCAGTACATCTCAACATGTGCACTCTTTGTGCATGCAAATTGGTGATCCCATAAGCAGGTAAATGTAAAATTACCCCATCTGTTTGTGGTTATTTTCTCTTGAGCCCCATATAACTAGAGCCACATGCTTCTCTAACACTTATGAGTCTAAGGCTGCACATGAAATTTTAAATTTTTGAATATCCAACCCATTCTTTGGAATATCCATGTTAACTATTTTAACCCCCTTAAAATACTGATCTTAGCAGGCAGGTGAAATGAGAGCATGGCTAATTAGTTCTTTAAAATCAGATGAGAGTCCAGAAGTTGAAGACACTTAACAGAAGAATCCTTAATATTAGTCAAACTATTTATTAGATTTCCTGTGATATTGGTATTGTTTAGTTTTTGTTCAGAAACTTACTAGCTTTAAAGGCAACTTAGGAAGAAAATAGCAAGAGATAAGAGTTGAACGCAGTTTGGAAAAATATAGAAAAACTGTTTCACAGTGTAATCAAAGGAAGTTCTGTAGCTTCTCATAGAATGAAGTTCAGACAGAGTGGATTATGTGTTCTTCATGGAGGTATAGGAGAAAGGAAGGGATGTAAATTAGAGGGAATTTGGAGAAAGGAAGAAAGAAAGAGTGCACAAATGATGGAAGTTCTTGCAACTTCTTTTAATCTTTTCACTGCAAATGATTTCAAATATAGCAATATTGAATTTGACCTTTTAAAAACTCTTACTTGAGAGCTTCAATAACTCTAAATCAGGTACTGTAAAATTATGGACATACTAGGATATAAATATATATTGAGTAGAAGTGGATGAATATTAATCCTTTTTTTAAAAATGAGATTCCTAGAAGCTGTAGACAAAGAACAAAGGGAAAAGATATTCACTAATATTATGTCTTAGTACCCAAGAACATGATGCAGCAGACTACAGTAATTTTCTGATTTTTCCATCATTTCAACCTTTGGAATAAGAGGAAAGATATGAAGGGTGGGGAGACTATATTGTAGAAAAACTTGATCCAATAACTATTAATCAGTGGGATCTAGTTTTAAAAAAAAGATGGCTTTAAATATTGCCAAGGTAAATGTTCATTCGACACTCCAAAGGGTTTGATTGTGAGCAGTTATTTTTGCATAGTCTTTTACTTTGGTTTATTTTTTAATCCACATACCTGGCTGTGTCTATTCCAAGGGCTGTCATAGTCTGGCGGCCACCTCTCTGGATTATTTTATTTGCTGCAACAAGTACCTCTTCTGTTGATGAATACTTATTGAGGTTGAACTCATGGGTTACATTTTCTCCATACTGTACAATTCCAACCTGAAATACCAAGCCACTCTGAGTTATCCATCTAGCAATGCTCCGTTTTCAATTTTCTTTAGTTTAAACATGTAGATCAGATATACTTTTTTGTCTTTCAGATGAGTTTAAAAATTCATCAGTACACAAATCCTTCTGTTTTGACAGCAATAACCATTGGCACTTGTGGATATTCACAGCCCAAAGAACAAGAATGATAGTACTATTATTAAACTTCCCAAACAATTGGTTTATATCTTCAATAGTTTCTACTGGATGACTCTGGCAGGCTTTGGTGGGTAGAAGGTGCTACACACTGACAGGCTCTCTGCCTTCACTTTGTTTCTAAACTAGAGAGAGAGAGAGAGAGAGAGAGAGAGGGAGATTCAACACATGATCATTCCAATGCATGTTCAACTGTGGAGAGGGCTATCATGCTGTTTAGCAAGTAGAAGCTAAGGCCCTGCTTCAGAAGAGGCTCAGGGAAAGCCTCTTAGAAGTGATAATCAAGTTAAGACTGAAAGGTGCAAGGAGTGTGGAGACCTGTCCTGAATGGAGGCTGAGTGGGAGGATGGGGTCCACATGAGGAGAATCTGTATGTAAAGAAGATGAGATGAGCAAAAAGCAAGGGACGTCCTGAGAACTGAAAGGAAGTCAGTGAGCCTGGACCAGGCTGTGAGGGGAAGTGAAACAAGATGAGGCTGGATGAGTAATAAGCGGGGCATGTATCTGGGGAGGGCACATATGTGCTTCAGGCTTTATCTAGTTCAGGCGTAGCTTCATTTCTCTCATGCCAGCCCTTCTCCCCACCATCCCTTTTCATGTTATCTGTCTTCCCTTTCTGCCTTCCTCCTTTCACTCTGTCCTTTGCACAGACTGGATAATTTGGGCAGCTAACTGCAAAGTCACCATAGAGTAAAATGATACAGAGGGTAAAGTGTCCCCAGATTTGATTTCCTTTGCTTCCTATACCTCCCCCTCCCCTAGAGACACCCATTTTTCTTATCCTTTTTCTATACCTTTCCTTAAATGTTTATGTGAACCAATAGACTAATCTACATCAAGAACTGTGACTGGAGATAACTTTTTGTTTAATTTTCTCAACTCAAAATTTGAGATTCAGAGAATTCTATACCCAAAGGAATGTCTTTTTAATGTAGAAATCTGGGCACTACATTTCTTGGGTTGGGGAAGCGATTTGAGACAAGGCTGCCTTCTTTCCCAGGCAATTGTGTAGTTTGTCCATTGATAAAGTTGCCTCATGCTTGCTTCAGACCCATCCTATTTCCAAGTCTGATCCTATTTCCAAATGGCAGAGGGGACTGGCATCTACCTTCCAGCTTCCCTTGCAGATGTCACTGTTTTCAGAAATCTTTAGGCTTAATTACGTGTCTGATTTAATGATACATTTCCACAGTTGTGTCTTTCTTCTTGGAAACCAGAAGTATACTCTGGCATTTTCAGAAACCAATAGGAGAACCTTCCAATTTAAAATAATCTTTATCATCTTTGAGCTACCTTCTAGAGTGCTTTAGAAATCGTGGCCCAATTAAAGCCACTATACTTAAATAAGAGTAGTATCGAATATTTTTAATGCTTTTCAAAATTTTTTTTCCCAATTTATTCAGATTATAGTAACAGAAATTAGTACCACATTTTATAAATGAGGAATTTAAGTTTAAAATACTCCTCATGGTGAAGGGGCAGAAAAGGGTCTAGTCTAAGATGTGAGTCCTTTATCCCAGGGCTTTTTCCATCACTCTACTTCCTCTCTACAAAAACACACCTCTCTAAAGTCCCCGCATTCTCTGTCACCTCGTTCTGACAGTTTCTACTAAATGCTGCTATCATATCATTGCTACTTGATGAATTTAATGAGCTAGCTACCTAATTGAGATGCACTGGAGAATATAATAAAGCAAAGCAAACAAACAAACAGATCATATTTTAAAAATGGAACATATTAATCCTTCCTTAGAGTTGCTTAGTTGGGTATAGGATAAATAAGAAATAACCGGAGAGCATATTCAAGTGTAAGATAAGGTGCATAATAGGCTGAGTGAACATGCAATCTGCTCAGTTCATGTCCAGGATAACCCTGATCTTCTATGAACATATCTTTCACTATCTAGTCCAAGATTATGTGCCATTATAATTGGAATAAAGATGACGAGAAGTCCCTTTGGAAATAAAGTAGGCTACAACCAACTAATAATGCAAAAAATAATAAAATGAATGAGGACACACCCATAACTCCCAATTCAGGTTATTTCTTTGAATTAAATGTTATGGATAGTTCTCTATTACTCTCCACAAAGATTTAAAAATATTATCCTAATGACCTTTATAGCTTTTAATTAATAATTCAGGGAGAAACTGAATAATTATTAAGGGAAACCATGAAGGTTTGACATTGTCTTTGCATATATAAATATTCAATGTAAATAAAGGTAAAATGATTTTGCTACTTAGATAATCATTATGCCTGTTTTTGGGTATCAAAATGAATAAATGCTACTGTGGAAGTTAATTGCTCACCCATTCAGGACATCTTACAGAGTTGCTTTGTTTTTCCTTCCCTTTGTTTTTATTTGATTAAGCAGGAGACCAAAGAACTCTGAAAACTGTCATTCCTGTCATTATTCTTGGATATTTTACTACTTGGGTGCATCTAGTGAACACCCTAATCTCTCGTTTGGATAATCTATTGAATAGCCTAGTCTCTTATTTCTTTGACTTCCTCATCTTCAGTAATTTTTTCCTCTAGGTCACCTATGTTGTCCAGTCTCAAGGTCTTATCCTTGACCTCAACAGGAAGAACAGCAGTACCTCCATCTCAATTTCAAGTGTTCGTCTGTCTGACCATTAACTTCAGCTCATTTACCTAGTATATCTAATTCATCAATTCCTTCACCACATCAAGACTTCCAATTAATTCAGAGATCGTATTTTTTTTTTTAACTTAGCATAGATTTCATGGTCCATCACCACAATCATTTACTTGCAAACTTTAACTCCTTTAACCTTTTTTCCCCTCCATTAACTCACTTGGCTAACTTCCAACTCTGGTTAAGTCCAAGTATCTTCTTTTCTTTGCGAGCTTCTGTGACACTAAATGTTTCTAGACAGAAATCACACAACTTATAGACTAGTCTCACTTTAAAGTTATGGCCATGAATCTCTAATGTGGTTGCACATAACACTGCCCAGCAGTCCTACTGTTTTGTACTAATGAGTGCACTTTGCTCCCATTTATTGAGTTCAATCGAATTCTAGTCATAAACTATTAACTGCTCGGGAAAAAGAGAGTATCACACTGATACATGGGGAGGAGGTCACATGAAAAGAGGTAGAATTTATGCCAATTAAACAAGGCTGTTTTGTGCCATAATATTTGACATTTGCAACATACTTTACATATCTTATAAAACCTTCTGTGAACTATTGGATTATCTGGACACCAGGAATAGCAGAAAAATTTTAGCCCCTTGGTAAGTCAGAAATCAGTGCTTTATATCTTTTTCCTCTCTCTCTTTCTCTACTGACTTAACATATATCTCAATTCCATAAGTTTATTCTTTAGATAACTTATAACTGCCAGTTGCCTCATGCTTTCTTTATACTTTGCTTCTAACAACTCCATGGGAGAGCCTCTTCAAATGGCTGACTACCCTTCGACTGCTAGAGCTGCTTTGCCCCAGAGGCTCAAAGAGCCAGAAGTACCTGGAAATATTCTCCCTCCTCACCCCTTGCCCTGCTCCATAGATGATGTCTGAGTCCAGGCAGGGAAAGATCAGTCCCTTGACTCAACTTGGAGTTCCCCTTCCAGATCAGCCTGAGGTCCTGATTTCACCTGAAATCACACCCTTGGTTGTCCTCAGTTGCTACTGTTGCACTCTCCCAAATCTCTTACTATTTTCTGTTAAAAGCACTCCCTTAGTAAATCACTGTCACTTGGCTCATTTTCTCAGGGTTTGTGTCTGGGAAACCAGACCTAAGGGAGGGAGAGAGGATATAAAGTACTGATTTCTGCCTTACCAAGGGGCTAAAATTTTTCTGCTATTCCTGATGTCCAAATAATCCAATAGTTCACAGAAGGTTTTATAAGATATGTAAAGTATGTTGCAAATGTCAAATATTATGGCACAAAGCAGCCTTGTTTAATTGGCATAAATTCTACCTCTTTTCCTGTGAGCTATTATCCCTGTTTCTGAATTTCTTCATTGGCCCAGGCCAGACCTCACTGCCTTGAACCTGGACTGTGGTAATCGTTGGTCTCTCTGCCCTTGCTCTCCCTCAGATTTCCATTCTCCTCAGCTCCATCTACATATTCATGGAAGATTAACTGTCTTGAAATTCTGCTTTTATCACATAACTTCCTTCTTCAAAAATCTCTAATAACTCTCCATTGCCTACTACATCAATGACTTTGAAATATACTTTAAAAGAGAATTTTTATTCTACTTAAAATGGAAACAGATAAAACTTCAAGGTGCTCCTTGAAATACTAGACCTGTAGGGTAAAACTCAGTTTTCTTTCCCTGACCTGCAGTCACTCAACAGCCTGACTGCACTTTCTTTGTTCCCCCTCAACTCTAGGATTCCCCAGTCCGAGTGCTGTCCCTACCCTTTCTTATCCCCCCAATAAAACTAAATTTTTATTACCCATTCTGGAAGATTCAATTCAAGTTTCACTTTTTCTGCAAAACTTTCCCTACCTAATCACCAATCTAGATAATACTGATCTTCCTCTTCTCTGAGCCCTGAGGCAAACTTGTCTGTTTTGCTCCTGTGAGTACAGCATTCTTCTCAACTGCTTTGTATGTGTGCTTTATCTTCCCAACTACATTATATGTTCCAGAGGGGCAAGGAGGGGTAAAGAGCGTGGACTATGTCACAGCTTTTGGTATTCTCTTATCCCATGCCACTGCTTTGCTTTGCTTACAGTTGACCCGCATACATTCTTACTAGATGACTGTAACATTTCACATGAGCAAGTAGAAAATTGAGATAGCAGGGAA